AAAGACTGAATTAAATTGGTCAAACAAAGAGGCCCATGGTGGAATCGGTGGATTATTTTGGCAAACACAGTTGCTTTCAGATCTGTATTTATACTGTGGCACAGCCAATATCCCATCTGCAAATAAAAGGATGCATCTGATCAATTTTTATGTGACCGTAAACAAAGCTCTGTCTTCTACAGTGTGCAGATAAAACATTTTTACACTGCTGCTAACAAACTGTTGTGGTTGCACTTTATGAGCCATTTCCAGAGTGCTTTTAAACATATGACTCCTCGCAAAGTTCCTAACGGAAGTTCCTCAAATTCTTTTTTTTTTTTTTTTTTTTTGTGGGTATGCCTAGATTCATTTCATGCCATCTTTTCAAACAGTGCATTGAGTGTCATTATGAGAGGGATTACTTGTGATGATCTTCATCTCCACGCAGCCAATAAATTTTACTGGGAAATGTGAAGCTTTTCTCTCTTTTTTTTTTTTTTTTTTCTTTTTTTTAAGCTGTTGGCTTTCTTGGTGTGCTGTTTTTTTGTTCTTTTCATTTTGTACAAAAAGTGTTTGCAACCTCAAATGACTAACAATGCTCCTCTATACAATATATTCAGAAATGTTAAGCACGTTTTTATCATATTAGAAAATGTGTTACATTAATTAGTATCACCACTAAATTTTCTTTAAACATAATGTAGATCTGTTCACATTCTTTATTTCATACCACCCCTGACTTTTTAAGCAGAGACACTAGACGTGAGCTCCACAGGATGCAGTAGGGGTATTTATGCATCATGCATATTGCACTTCGTCTCACAGATTGGGATCAATCCTTTTGGCAGTCTGCCAAATAGATTTTTGGGACCAGACTGCTACTGTCAAGAAAACATGCTGCCTTTAAAAATATTCAGTAAAGCCAAGATGATAATACATTTGGATTGTAGTGATATATGCATTTGTACTGATGTCACCCGGGGGTACATGCTGTCAGATAATGAATAAATTAGCTACACCCCCCATCTAGGAGAGGAGAAAATGAGTAGATGAAGATGCCATCCAAAGCTGTCCACAGTGACAACCTGCAGAAGGCTGAACACTCAGAAGCTTGTTTTTAATCATCAGTGCACAAAAGTTTCAGGCAGAAGCAGCTGGGAGCAAGCAAAGGGTACGGCCAGCAAAGGGTACGGCAAGCTCTCGCGTCATGTATTATTGCATTTTGAAACATCCAATATTCTCCAAAGGTGTGTTTGATGTGTTCTGTGAAACTGAAATCACCAGATTCCAAGTCAGAAAAATACAAATAGAATGGCGACTGAAGTCAAAATTTTGACACAGGATGTTGGAAATCCTGGAGACACTTACTGTACAGTTCAGTATCCAGCATGGCTGCCACACATGTGAAATGTCAGAATTCCAGAAATTCAATTTGGACTTTTAATTGTTTGTACCAAAATAACCCAGAATCATGCAATGTATTTTGCTTTAGCGTGTTATTTTATTCAAACCTTCACAATCGAGCGAGATCTACACTGTCTTATTATTTTGTTAGCATCAATTAACATTACAGCAAATAAATCCCATTGCAAAGAAGATTGATGAGAAAACAGACCTCAATTTTCCAATGTGGCTGTCAGGTTCTGTTTTGTGAACCTTTATCATGGAATCATGAGTGAACCAGGAACGTTAGTGGAAATAAATTATGCCTAAATAAAATATGTTGGCACATGTTTTCTTTCAGACTTAGGTGATTATTTTGACATTTAGACTTCTTTTAGGCTGTTGAGGTAAAGTTGCTCTTCAACAGTCAAAGAGCACATCAGACTGAATGTCTGGTATTTAATAAAAGCAATTATGCAAATATACTTTAGTAATGTTGGATAAAGTTTCCATCATGTCAACTTAAAATACTTGTCTTTATTTAAACCTTTCTTTTTAATATTATTTTAAAATGCTATGATTGATGCATGTACGTGTTTGAGTAGGTTTAAAAAACACAAATTTTTTTCATAGGATGTCTTTTCATTTTTTCACATGACTGTATGTGTACTGTACAGTATACATACTGAGCAAACAGCACCTGAACAACATCAGTACTATTCACCCTATACCATAGTGGTTTCACTGTTATGATTCAGTGATTTGTATCACTTCCTTGCCCCATAATTAGTTTTTCTGCTATTTTTGTAGAATAAAAAAACAGCATTAAATTTCAGCAAATGTCTCATCTAAGTAAGCGAAAAATAAAATAAAAAAGAGTATTATGATAGGAACACCAAAAGTGATTTTATTTTTATCACAGAGACGACGAAAATCAAAGTCATTTATTTTCCTGTTTTTTATATGAGGACTCATTTAGACAGTAGAGTAAAGAACTTCATAGAGAAGGAAAAAAAGCAGCGCAGAAGTTAAAGTTGGTCTTTTAAGCTTTCATAAAATGAATTGTCAGCCTGCTGTCACATATCAAGGCTGCGCTTAAAGCCATCCAGCTGGATTTCAGACTCAGGCATATTTCAGAATCAAAAGTAAACTAAATATAAACTTCCAGGCTGAACTTTCAGACTGTATCTGTTTTTCTGTCAAACAAGCTGTCAGATATTTATTCCCAGAAGTACTTTTTTTTCTTCCTCCTGAATAAATTTAGAGCCAGGTTGATTAACTGAAAATTCAGGGCATACAGTTGACGGCAGTCGAAAGCGAAATTAAACTATTGCTGAAAGGAGAAAATCAAGATTGTGGCTAACAAAAGCAAAAGAGACAGGCAAAAGAATTAATTATATTCATTAAATTTGTAAAATAAATAGACTGACGGGGAAACATGTACTTTTCTAATAGCATGTGAATATTACTGTCTTTATCTTTACAGACATTTAGCTCTGGGACATACACACACGCGCACACACACATCCACACACGGATATAATTTAATCCACCAACTTGACTTTAAATAACTCGGTAATTGAAAGATAACTCCATAACAAACTTCCCTATTAGTTGAGAAAATATTATTTGGAGACTGCGTGTTAAGCTCCCCTTTATCCAATAAATAGAGCATTGAAATCACAGACTGTTTTCATAATCAACTTTTGTCATGATCACCACATTGACACACTGCTCACTGACACAAGAAGGAAGCAGACATTTCCCCTAGCCCTTCTCTTCCTCTCCAAAGCAGTGGTGGATTGAGCAGTCCAGAGATTTCTACCATTATTTGCTGCCCTTTACATCAGCAGCTACCACCTCTAAAAGCAGAAGGGAGGAAAAAATCCATCTTCTTTTTTTTTTTCTATGCTCGAATGTAATCAAATTATCATTGTCTCAAGCTGTTCTGTGCAAGAGTGATTTCTGTAATTACCCTGTAACCATTATTAAGGCTTGAAAAAGCTGTATAGAGTATAATTTTGCCCTGCTGGAAGCCTTCATATATCCCTTTTCTGCTCCATGTAAAAATAGATCCCACAGGGAACCAACATGAGATGAGCTGCAACCCTGCTCACCATCTCTGACAGGAAAGACAAATACTGAATAGTTGTAGTCCTTGGAGGAATTTTTCATATCACCTTGCAAGTTAGTCATCAAGGAATTGTCAAATATGATCTGTGCAGTGTATTTCAGCCTGCGTGGGGCCATGTGAAAAGGACCTGAACTGACCTGACTAGAGTAAATGCGGAGTGTCTCAAACTGAGTGGACAGATCGCATGCAGGGAACTCGTGTGTATGTGCCTGCTGAAGCAGTTAAGAGAAATCCCAGCATGTCAGAGTAGGCTAGAGAATTTACAGGTTTTATGACTTATTTCCAGAGTTATGTAGAAGCTCTGGTGGACAAGTCAAGTTGCAATTGCAAGCGTCATGCACTTTAGTGGGATTTAGAACAAAATGGTACATGATTGTGAAGCAAAACAGGAACAGTAGATGTTCAAATGTGTTACAAATAAAAAAGTTGAAAACTGTGTGGTGCATCTGGATTCAGTCACGCTAAATTACTTTCAGTATAAATACAGATGTTCTCTTACAGACTCAGAGGTTTGTGGAAGAGCTGTAAAGATTCACTGTTCAGATGGGAGAATCTATTGATAGGAAACTACAAATCAGACTTTTATGAATAAGTGATGAGACGAAAGCTATTGCTGAAAGACAGGCGTAAAAAGGATTTTAAGAAAGTTTGCCATAAGCCATGAGGTGGGTACAGCAGACATGAGAAAAAGGGTTCTCTAGTCAGATGAAACCGGAGGTAAACTTTTTGATCTATATGTTAGTCATAATATGTGGTGGACATCAACAGAACAGTCAGTCCAAGCACATGATCCCCACTGTGAAACTTATTAGTGGCTGCATCCTGGTATGGAGAATACAATGGGAACATTGAGTTTAAACACAGAGCAATCCTCCAGGACAGAGCTATTACTGAAAGATGTGCAGCTGAAAATAGTCCTTCAAAGAGAAGATTCAGGATGGCTGGAATCAATGCACAATGCAGCTTACATGGTTTTATTTGTAAAAACATGTATTCTTTTTCTTCAGCTATGTATTATTTTGTGTTGCTCTATTGCAAGAAATGTAATCATGTAATTGCGTTATGTAATCCAGTGTGCATCCCAGGCATTTTATTTTTCATTTATGTACCTGCATGCAGAGTGAGCCTGTCAAAAATGGTCTTGTCTCCACTGGTGGCGGGTTTCTGTGGAAAATAGGCACACCCATCAGCCCCCATTAGTCTTTACACTGACAGGCCCGCCTTCCACTGAAAGACTCTGTCTAGCAGGGGTTTCTGATTGCCTCAGACACTGGTCGGATATTTTTACTAACAGGCTAAGACACAGTGCCATTTGTTCAGGGCATTTACTGCTGGTGATAATCCTGATTTAAGTTCCCTGCAAGTGAAGAGAGACACAGAAGACTTTAAATAGTTTCTTATGTTCCTTCCGCGAGTGATGGAACGAGGAGAAGGAAGGTCATTCAGATGGAGGTGTCAACAGGTCTTGTAAAAATGTCTGATAATGTTACCTTCTTGTTTGCAGACGGACGCAGCTCTGATGTACGACGCAGTGCATGTGGTGGCGGTGGCAGTGCAGCAGTCGCAGCAAATCACCGTCAGCTCTCTGCAGTGTAATCGCCACAAGCCGTGGCGCTTTGGAGGTCGTTTCATAAACCTTATCAAAGAGGTAAAAACGGCCATCACTTTCAGATGGGCTGGACTTTGGAGCTCACCCTTTGTTGCATGCTTTTGCTTTGTGCTTTGTTATTCTTCACTTAACAATTTCAGGGTTGTTTTCTATCAAAAGCATTTTGTCTTGTTGTCCCTTGTGGTGATCATCATAATCAAATGGACATAAACATCTCCAACAATTCCCAACCTTCACATTCTCTGCAATCTTTTTGAAAATGGAATCCAAAGAAAACAGTGCTTTACTCACAATAACAATTATTTTAGGGATGTTTCATTCTCTTTGCCCCTGCATTTTCTGTGTGCTTATCTCCTCCTGTGTTTTTATCAAAGCATTGCTGTCTCCTTAACTCTGGTCAGGGTCAGCCATTTGCTTTGTTCTACAAAGCTCTTTCATTCTGCGAATGGTATCATTGCAGGTAATTTTCACAATGAGCCATTGTTGTGCAGCCAGTGCTTCTACCACCACAACAACCTCCCACCCCCCGCATCCTCACCTCATCCTGCTTCTCCCGTCGCTCTCAACGCCCGTCTGTTCCTCCAAACAGCTTTGATGTTAAACTTCAAGCCCAATGAACCACATGCATAATGAACTCTTACCTGTCAAACCTGTCTCTGTTCTTGCTGCTTTGTTTCTTGTTATGATGAAGGGAGAACCAGCTGGAATTAGAAATTAGTAGAGAAAAATGTTAAGTTTAGAAGAAAGAATGATTTTTTTTCTTGAGAAAGGCTATTGTAAAGCTGTGAGACATCAGTATATTTCTGCTTCCAGGCTCACTGGGATGGTTTGACGGGACGTGTTCTATTCAACAAGACCAATGGGCTCAGAACAGATTTTGATCTAGACGTCATCAGCCTGAAGGAGGAAGGGCTGGAAAAGGTGTGTCCTTAATTGCTGCTGTTGATGCTGAGTGATTTCTAATGTTTTAGCTACAAACAATATTTTGCTCTTACTGCTTTGAAGGCACAAAAGGTGATGTGAACTTGACACTAAACTGTTTGTACAGATTGGAACGTGGGATCCTCCCAGCGGTCTAAATATGACAGAGACTCACAAAAGCAAGACATCCAACATCACTGACTCCCTGGCAAACAAATCCCTGCGTGTATCCACCATTCTGGTAGACGGGAGAAAACACACAAGCACTGCACACTTACAGTAAAGAAATATGTCGGCTGAAAAAGCCCCTCTGATTTCTACACCAGCATGTGTTTTCTTGACAGGAGGAGCCGTATGTGATGTTCAAGAAATCGGACAAGCCTCTATATGGGAATGACCGCTTTGAGGGGTACTGTATTGACTTGTTGAGGGAACTCTCCGGTATCCTCGGGTTTCGCTACGAGGTGCGATTAGTGGAAGATGGGAAGTATGGTTCATTGGACGAGGGTACAGGCCAGTGGAACGGCATGGTGCGGGAGCTCATGGACCATGTGAGTCAACATTCTCATAGGCAATGTGCATGCGTATTTCTGCTAAAGGCACAGGTGTCTGTTGTTGCCCCTTCTCTGAAACTTGAGCTCATCTTTTCTAAAAACCTCATTTGTAAACACAGCATGTCTTCAAAATGAGATGACACTTCAGTCCTATTGTTTTTATTTGTATTCCTTGTGTGCTATGAATAACTGTAAAACAAACTTAGAAACTCAGACAGCTTTAGTGAATAAATGACTAAATCAATTAACAATAAATACACATCACCTTAGCTCTTTCAAAACCACAGAATTGTAAACTCAGCTATTCTGAAGTGTCAGGTTTCATTACTCATAATTTTCACTTACCAGCCATTTCATTAAGTCCACTTGCTGATACAAATTTGGACCATTATTTTCCTTTGAGAATTACTTTCATGCTTTGTTTCATAGATTCAACAAGGTTTATGGAACTCTTAAGAGATTCCGGCCCTCATTGGCATGACAGCATCGCACAGTTGCCGTAGATCTGTTAGCTGCACATCCATTATGCAACTCTTCTGTTTCTGTACATCCCAAAAGTGCTCTGTTTGATTGAGATCTAGTGACTGTGGAGATCACTGGAGCACGGGGATCTTATTGTCATGTTCAAGAATTCAAGATTTGTGAGACGATGCATTATCCTACTGGAAACAGCCATGAAACAGTCATACAGGGTTGGACATGGTCAGCATTATTACTCTAGTAGGCTTTTGAACTTAAAAAGTATTAAGTTCGTATTAAGTGGCTAAAAGGCAACTTTTTCCAATACACCACTGTAATGTCATGTCATCTGAATGCTGCAGCTGAAATCAAGACTTGTCAGACCAGACAACAGCCTGTGTCTATTTCTTAGCCTCAGTTTCTACTTGTTAGCTGACAGGAGAGGCACCCAGTGTTGTCTTCTCCTACTATAGCTCACATTAAAAAAGGCATGTTTGACAACATAACTGACAACACAACATAACTGTTGCTGGATATTTATCTTTTTGAGATTATTGTCTGTAAATCTGAAAGACAGTTGTGTGTGAAAATCCCAGTAATTCAGCACCTTCTGAAAACCTAAGAACAAACAGCAATGCCCCATTTGAAGTCACTTAATTTTCCCTGGTTCCCATTGTGAAACTCTATAGTTCATAAAGTAATTTTCCTCACGTCTAGATACCTAAATAGAGTTGCTCCCTTGTGATTGACTAATTTGTTAATTTAACAATGGTATAAACGATGTGGCCAATAAGTATATAGTTAAGTTTAAATCATTTAAGTCATTAACGGCATACTTATAGATTATTTACAGTAGGCAGAATCAAGTCTTTGGAGAATTTACATCTAGACTTTGATATTCTAAAACAATTAAAATTTTAAAGCAATTTAAATCAGTAAACTGTATTAATATGTACATTTTATTAAATCTCAAAGCCAATTATAAACAAAGTCAAGATGAGACATCCTAAATGCCTAAAACCACTGTGTTTGAGTAAAACAAAGCCCTATAGTTGTACTAATTACAAAGTTATTGGGGCTAATCTTTACACAAAGAGACCCAGATTGTGGCTATATGAAAATAACCCTTTCAATTCAAAATATCTAAAAACATATTCCATCATTGCTGGAATACACTTGTTAAGGTGTATTTTTTTACACTTTAACAATAGCCATACATGTACAGAGAGTATCATGGGAATTAAGTCTTGTCTACTGTTGGTATAAACTATTGGAATAATTTGAGTAGATTTTAAAAATACCCCGCAATGCTTGTACAAAATACAACCTCAGATAATTATTTTTATTATCTGAGCAATGATAGCCATGAGGAGAAGAAATCAGTGCCAAGCACAACATCAAAGAACGTCTTGAGTAAGAACTCAAACTAAATGGGATACACACAGCTGCTGTACAAAATTAAATAATTCTAGGAAGGATTATGTAAAAATACTCAGACACAAGTGCTAAGCAGGAGCCCAAGGGTCTAATGTTATGTTCGGAGGGGACACAAGGTTAATTTGTCACACATTAATCTACAGCAAAGACTGTTGCGTCTGTGACTCACCTTTGGCTCAACATAAGAAGGCTTAGACGTAATACCTGTAATTTCCAGAAAATCTCTGTTTAGCTGAAGCACTGTTAATGCCAGTTTATTATTATTTTTCCTTCATTGGTTATTTTCTTCTTCATTGTAATTTGAAAAATCTAACTGATGGAAATCAGTCATTATTTATGTAATTACATTAATAATCATTTATTATTTACTTGGTTATTTGTTAGTTGGCTGGCTGCTTTGAGAGTTATTGTTGTTTGATGAATGACCTAAATTTTGGTCGGTTTGTTTGATTAGTTGGTTGATTGTTCTGGTGCCAGCTTGTCCATCCAGTTGACTGATTGCACTGTTGATTTTTTTCCTTGCCTGTTGATTGGCTGGTCTAAGGGGCTCTTGGTTGGTTGATCAATTGGGCAGTTATTCAGTTGGTCATTAGATTGATTGTTCTATTGTTTGTCTGTCTTTATCTATTATGCATAATGTGTTTTTCCTGCAAAAAAGCTAATTCTACTTTCTGATTGCAGAAAGCAGACCTTGCTGTTGCTCCGCTGGCCATCACCTACGTCAGGGAGAAGGTCATTGACTTCTCAAAGCCCTTCATGACTCTGGGGATAAGTATCCTATACCGCAAGCCCAACGGCACCAATCCGGGGGTCTTCTCTTTCCTCAACCCGCTCTCACCGGATATCTGGATGTATATTCTGCTGGCTTGCTTGGGTGTCAGTTGTGTGCTGTTTGTCATAGCCAGGTAACATGTCAATCCCTCCGATTTTATCCCTCCTACCAATTTTCTTCCTGTCAACCTGTCCGGCTTTTATTCTGACATACAGGTGTTACATTGTCCTGGGACAGGAAACTGCCTATTTTGATCTGTAGTTATGATAAAAAATATTTGAGGACAAATTATTTGCCTTAAATATACTAAGACCTACACTAGTGTGGTCTGTGAATGGAGCTTGTCATACAAGGTGCCTTTCCACAAACACTACTACTGCGAATGCAGCTGCCATATCTCCTGATCAAGGGTAAGAAATGTGTGGAGGACGGTTCTTACTCTATCTTGATGAACCTCTCACACTTAAATTCCTGATGCATAGCTGTGATGTGTGTTAACCCTAGGGCTCTTCTCCTTTCATCCTGAGAGGTTTGGGTTTAATGCATATCTCAGTAAATGTTACTGGCAAAATGATCACAAAAGAGGAAAGCAGCAACTGTCACCTAAGTTAGTTCAGAATATGCAAATTTCGAGCATTTGTTTCTGCAGTTGGTCAGGGTAAGTAATTACCATAAAATTACTGTAAAATGTATTCTGGTTCAAATAAAACAAACCCTCTGTAGTTTTATGAAATCACCACCTACTTTTTCTCTGCTTATACTATGCGTTATGTTCATTGCATACCACATCTGTCATGCAAATGCACCTGGTTATTTCTACCAACCTATAAATATGCAGTCAAATCTGAAATACAGTGTTCTCTACAGTTCGCTGAGTTGGTTTTCTCATAATTGTAGTATTGATTGCACAGCCGCCAGATTGATTAAACAATCCCCCCAAAAGCAGGGTATATTATTTTCTTTAATCCCCTGCAAATAGAGTGAGTGGAGTGAGCTTATGAAGTCCCAGTTTTGCACAATAAAACACTAAACACCTCAATCTCACTGGGGATTTGTGTCTTTGACTCAATTTACTCACACATTTTTCTTCACTAAGTAAGCTATCTCATTTCAAAGCTGAAGAATAAAAAAAGAAAGGAAAAAAAAACCCACATTTCACTCAGTGGTTTCTTCCAGCTCTGTTTGCAGCTGAATTGATCTGTGCTATTATTTACAAAATAAATAACGTTCTCTCAGATCACAAAATTGGCAAGACAAAACATGACCTCCTCTCCTAAAGACTGGATGTTTGAAAACGTTTTATTACATGTTTGCGCAATTCACTGTTTTTTGCAGCTTTTTTTTAAAGCACTTTTCAGACGTCTTTGCTGCAAGCTTCAGGTGCCTGCAGTTTCTAAGACCCCACCAAGACAACATTTACACTTGGCGCGAGGTGGGAAAGACAACAAATCTATAAGCCCAGTGCGAGAAATTGAATCCAACAGGAAGGTAATGGAGGGAGCGTGTTTTGTGCTAATATTGTTAGGACAGGTGAAAAGAAAAGGGAAAAATAAGACGGGGGACAGTTCTCTTAAGATTCAGCTTGCAATTCAACATGTCCCATGAGCTGATGCTGAGGAGGTGACCTTACGTCTGCCTGTACCACATCCACCCCCCCACCCACTCTACACCCCTCCGACCCCCCGCCTTCTGATTGGTGTGCACGATGTTGCTCTGCAGGAATACAGACCAGGCAAAGGTCTTACAGAGCCCCCATCGCACGTTCAGAATACACATGTAGACACTGACAGACACAAACACAATCCAATCAAGTGTGCATTTTATAGATCTACACCCCACAGACAAGCCTTCTGCATTCATCTTCCATGGCCCTCGGTCTGCCTCAGGCTGCAGCTTCACATTATAAGTAATAACTGTGAAGATCCACATAACTGTTTGACTGGGAGATGGATGTGACGGCGTCGACGCGAATACGCAGGCGCTTCTGCAGAACCTGCACAGCTATAAAGGTTCTTGCAGCAACAGGAATGAGTCAGTGAACACAAGAAGAAGAAAGAGAAGGAAAACAGCATGTGCAAGCAAACAAATTGAAACCCACTTAGCCGCACAAGGCCATTGTGTCATTACTGTTGCCTGTGGTTCCAAGGAGACGGAGCTCATTGACATTCCAGTAAATCAGGCATCCTGATGGTGTTGACAGGAAGAATTATAGTGTGTCATCACCGCCATGTCCACACAAATGATTCTCAAGGGGACAGAAATGCAAAAAGCTGCCAAGGAAGGGCAACATCTCAGAAATGTTGCTGCCTTCTAAATGCATCTAAAATCGGATAGTTAATAAGCCAACCATGATTAAAGAAAAGCTTCAAGTGATATCTAATGACATGTCTGTATTTACATCCACAGTTATCACGCAATAGCCTTTCACTTTGTTTCGTCACAGATTTCCAGATTTGGGATTTGTTTGTCAGATATACAATGCAACAAACAACCTGCAGCGACATGTTTGGATGAATAAAGTCTTTGAGAGTTAAAAAAAAAAAAAGGGTTAGAAAAATGGAAATTCAATAAGACTGAAACATTTCACCAGGTTACATAAACATTATTGATTTATGGGGGTACTTTCCTCTAAAGGGACAAGTAAAAGCAAACCATGCCAGCATTATGCTCTCAAAGCATCAAGCATTCAAGTCCCCTTTCCCTCCTCCCAGTGAAAGATGACTCACCGGGAATAATCACTTTTTCTTCCCTCTACATCTCTGCAGACCATCACCTGTGTTTTTTTGCACCAGTGAAGTCTTAAATGTGCACTCATCTGTGTAATGAGAGGTTTATGCACTGCAACCTCTCCATAATATCCCTCACTTTGTAATTGTGAACAGACTGTTCTTGCTGACACAGTCCGGTCACGTCCTGCATTGACATTTTGATTCACCTGAGGAAGTGTTACACACTGCTTTCCTTAAATATCAAACTAATGCACAAGCACTGCGGCCCTCGTTCGGCGTTTTAAAAAAACTTATGCGTACCCATTGATCCTTTTTACATTTTGATATGTTTATAAAATTCTGTATGTTTTGTAGGAATTCATTTTTTAAATAAATCAATAGAGAGTAACATACAATGGGACAATGGGGAAGTGAAAGAAAAATTTGACACGTTTTTCAAAACAATTTGTGAATAAAAATCTGGAAGGTTTGACAGCCATTCATATTGAGCCTTCCTTTGTCAGCCACTGTTTACTTCAATTACAGTTCCATGTTTGCACATCTACAGACTAAATTTCAGTGCATTCTTCTTTGTAAAATACCTTAAACTTAGTCAAACTCAGTAGAGGACATCTGCAAATATTGATATTCAAGTCGAGCCAAAGATCCCTGATTTTCATCTTGAAGTTTACTGGGTCATTCTCTAGGTCATATGAATGATTATGCTTTGATTTTACTACTTTATAGAAGCTCTGGCTGAGTTCAGAGTCGCTTTCCTTTTGGATGATGAATTTCGTCCCCAATCCTAAGACTCTTTCCATCCTCTTACAGTTTTTTTTTTTTTTTAAGATTACCCTGAATTTTGCTCCATCACTATTCCCATCAACACAGAACAGCTTAGTTGTCTCTGATGACAGAAAAGTATTCCTACAACAAAAACACCGTTGTTCACTGAGAGGGTAGCGCGTCTAAGTCTGATGTGGACTTTTTATTTCCAATACAAAAAGCATTACGTTCCACTTCCACTATATGTTGTTTTATGTTGGCCGGTCACACATATCTCTATTCAATAAACTGTCGCAAAGTCTGTAATTTCACAACAAAATGCAAAATACTTCTAGCACTTTCCATATATGTACATACATAGAAAGAGAATCCATATCACCGCTCTTAATCTTATTCTGTCACACTTTTATATATGCAAGATTTAGTAAAAGCCCGTTTTGAGTTAAATCTGCTTGATATGGCATTCTGTCATTAAATATCTTCGCCCAGATAAGCCGTCCAAACAATCCAAGCAATGTGTCTTTCCTTCTGCATCTCTAAAAGTCACAGCTGACAAATTGGCATCACTTTTCTAAACAGTCTAAGCCTTTAAGACATGGCCACAGGCTTATTAGCATGCACTAAGTTGCAGAAAAAGCTCCTCAACAGCATTACCTGACGGACCCCTTGACTCTGCATAAGCAATGTTCTCTCTATCAACCACTTCAGCACAAACTCAATCAGTTCCCCATGCTTAACACTAACCCAATCACCTTGTGCTAATGCCATGCCACTTTTGGTTAGGATAATAAATGGGAAATGTCCACAAGTGACCCTGAGACACCAACAATCTGCCAAGACAGGCAGCAGATGAATGGGGGTAAAAGGGGGAGGTTCATAGGGGAAGTAAAACCCTGGGGGGTAAAGAGAGGGGAAAAAAAACAGTTGATTGTTAGAATGAAAAGGGAATGAGAGCATCAAGGGTTGGTGAAAGCAGTAGGGTGGGGGGCTGAGAGAATAAGAAAAAGCTGCTTGGAAGAACACAAGATCTCTGTTGTGAGAAGAAGAAAGAAAGAGAGGAACACATTGTATCTGCAGAAAAACGGTGACTGCAGCTGCTGAGGAAACATTTAAATGCTCCGGAGTAAGCTTAACGGTGATGATGGCCAATATCATCATGCGCTGGGACATTATCATCAGTGACAGTGTTATTTCAGCATATTGATCTGTTCCACAAGAATCCGATGGCATTTAATTATGCCGATCTGTTGATTTCAATGAAAACATGAATGATTTTCTTTCCTTTGTGCAGGAACACTGTTTTCTAAGATATATAAAAAAACATTTGTAATTCCTTTATTGCAGCTGCTTCAAAATATTTTTTCATTGATTTGCATCAGGGAATTCAGTGTTCTGTGCTCGTTATACTGACTTGTGTGTCTTTCTGCTCTTTCTCCTGTAGGTTTAGCCCTTATGAGTGGTACAACCCGCATCCATGCAACCCAGACTCCGATGTAGTGGAAAACAATTTCACACTGCTCAATAGTTTCTGGTTTGGAGTTGGGGCTCTCATGCAGCAAGGTATTTGCCTCAGCCTGTGGCAACAGTTGTTCTGGGGAGCTGAAGCTCTCTGCACCCCACTGTCCTTGAGGGCTGGATGCTTTGAAAGGCCACTCGCAAAAGAAAGAGACGTCAAAGGATACTTGGCAGCTTTTTGTAAACACAGACAAAAACAAAAAATGTTAAATATTGTCACAAAATACCAATAAACTTTTGATATTTTACAATTTACACAAAATGGTTGATTGTGGGGCATAAGAAAAGGACAGGTGAACAAATAAAAGTTTCAAACGTGTATTCAATGCTCAATTCAATACTTTGTAGAAAACCACCTTTAACTCGGATCAAACCTTGCACCTTGTCAAGATCGTTTTTTACGTATTCTTTGCAAAATAGCTCAAGCTCAGTCGAACTGTGCTTGGCTCATTAAAAGCCAACTGCTACGTTCAGTTAGCTTTTAATTATTGATGCAGATTCTTTATGGAATTTAGATCTGGCTCAAGTCTTTTGCAGACGCTTAACATACTTACTTCCAGGACAGGAATTTTAGATTTTCCAACACAAGTGATGAAAAGGCCAATTTTAGTCAATCAGAGGAATTTCTTCCACATATTTGATGTTTTCCTTAAAGGTCTTACAACAAACTGCTATTAGAACTTAAGTCCTTATTTCTTTGCCTTTCCTCATAAAGGTCAGATTTGTAGAGGATATTACTACTTAAAGTAGTAATGTCAACAAATTCTTCCACCCCCAGAGCTGTTATGAACCTAATTTGTATTTCACGTGGCCTGTTAGTTTAGGTTGAGTTAGATTTGTAATTTTACCATGCTCTTAACATTTTCAAGTGAAGGACTGAACAGTTCTCATGTTGTAACTGTTGTTACAACATACACCCCTCATACACCCCTCATAGCTGGTGTATTTGTTCTCTTAAACCTTTACAGGACTGCTGTATTAAGAGCAGAGATGAAATCATAAAGAGGTGTACTCTGTTCAGTAATTAAGTGACTTCTGAAGGCTGTTGGGCCTGGATTTAATTTTTGAGGTATTAGAGTAAAGGGGTTATTTTTGTGCATAATTATGTTGTCTACCCATTGTAAACTCTTGAAAAATGCAGCATACTTCAGTGTTTTTTTTTCTTCATGCCTAACTTTAAGACTGTTCAATATGTTGCACACATTCTACCATAACTTTTTTTTTGTCCAAATAGTTTCCAATGCTAGATTTCTTTTGCAGTGTCTGAACAAACAGAACAGTGAAAAAAAAAAAAAAAAACGGCAAGACATATACCGAGCTCTATAAACTCAATATCAGAACATTGCACTAGAGCTATGAAACAATTTTGACATTGTGTTTAGGTGGCAGGTAATGGTTTCTTTACAATAAATTATGAAAGGTAACAGATGTAGAATGATGACACCATCAAATTTAATGTCTGTTCTCAATAAAGTAAAATCCAAAATTAGATATTGTCATTTAGAATCAAGTTAGTAAAACAACTGAAGGCTTGAATCACTTGAAAATATTTTTTTGCCACTTCATTTTCAGAGCAAAAAGAAAAAAAACATTTTTCATCTCAGATCAAAGAGACATTAGAGCACATTTCACACATTCTTAAAAGCTTTTGTTTTTATGTCTCGTATGTACGCTTAATTACTTTACAGAGGCTCTAATGTTACAGTTTCCATCTCTTTCCACCAATCCTTGAAATCCTGGAGCTTAGTTCAATTGCTGCAATTTTTTTTCCTCTTATCTCTAAAGTTTTATTGAATAATTTATGTTGTGTGTTTTGGCCCAGCTCAGAGGAAAACTTAAAACACACCGTTTACGTGACGGCAGCACTAACCTTAATACTTTGGAGATTACAAGCCTGTGATTACATTACTGCCAATATCCAGTCCCCTCTTCTCTTGCCAATGGGCTCTCAGCACCTTGAGCGCAGTGGGGTGTGGAGTCAGGATGTGAGGTTACCTTGGGTGCATGACTCTCTGGCTCTCACTTCTCCACACTGTTCTGAACAATCGATACTGACTATGTTTGATTTGAAATCGTTGATTTATGCAAACACTCTCCTCCCAGCAGACGTATTAGACAGTACTTTCAGCTTTCTCTTGAATTAATTAAAGGATTCGCTTCTAGATAATTTAGCTTGTTTGAAGTGTTTGAAACTGTCTGGTGTTCAGAGGTCCCTTGAGTGATTCACTGTTGAAACCAGTTGCAGATGTACTCGAGCGAGGAAAAAAAAAAAAAACTGAGTTCTGGAAGCAAGTTTAATTGATACAGTCATGTGGTGTTTTTTACATGAGAAAATTAGTACCGTAATAAGACAAACACGTTTTGAAGCATGATACTCATTCCTGCCACTTCCCCTCACCTCAGGCTCAGAGCTCATGCCCAAGGCCCTGTCAACTCGAATAGTCGGAGGCATCTGGTGGTTTTTTACCCTCATCATCATTTCGTCATACACAGCCAACTTAGCGGCTTTCCTCACTGTGGAGAGAATGGAGTCGCCGATAGACTCTGCCGATGACCTGGCTAAGCAAACGAAAATCTTGTACGGACTGGTTGAGGACGGTGCCACCATGACATTCTTCAAGGTACTTTTCTTCAGTGGTATTGTGACTTCACTGTTTTAGTCAAAACAGGGTGGAAAGGCTGTGGTACTTTTGCCTCTTACACCAATTTTTGGCTTTGTTTATTTGTTCTAACCTTTGCTCTTATTAAATGTATCCAAACTTTGTTAGTTGTTCAGTACCAACAGTATGTGCCATTCATAGAAGCTTTGTTAATGTCTTGTAGCTGTCAAGAAAATTGACCATTTTAGTTTTCTGTAGTTTTCTATGATGGTGTGATGTCATTCCCATATTCTTGATTCAACTCTCACAGTAAATGCAGCAATTCTGCAGCATTGCTAAACAGTAGAAGCTTGTGGAAAATATTATATTTATGACCCTTTCTTGGTCTTGATGCAGAAAATCATAAAAAAAATTACAGACATAAAGGTTTTAAAACATAAAGCATCTACGTTTGTATTCTATGATGTGTTTTGCTTAAAGTTAAAGTGCTCGAGAAATAAACTTTTTAATAATATGGTGATTAATTGCATCTGACTGACAGCTAACATGTTGCATTGATATTCAGTCATATAAGCAGCACTGCGTTTAATTAACACAGCACCATATGGAAATAATTGGCGTCAATCAAAAATAAAAGCCTGACTATTAACTGGATGTGTGATACAACCGTACATAATATTAAACACGGTGACAATTACTACCAATCATACTTATTTTCTAACTTTTAAATACACGACACCAGAAATGCTGTTTTGTCTCATAAAAGAGTTAATGAAAAATGTCCTTTTTTCTCAAAAAAATACTTATAATATTTAGAATAATGTTTCTGATCTGTCTTAAAACACATCTCGAGATCAGAATGTGATGGCCTGCTCTCTTTTCTCTTTTTTTGTTTTTTTGTTTGCAGAAGACAAAGATCTCTACGTATGATAAGATGTGGGAGTTCATGAACAGCAGGAGGCAGTCTGTGATGGTGAAGAGTGTGGAGGAGGGCATCCAACGTGTTTTGACCTCTGATTACGCTTTCCTTATGGAGTCCACCACTATTGAGTTTGTCACCCAACGCAACTGCAACCTCACACAGATTGGAGGCCTCATAGACTCCAAGGCGTATGGAGTAGGAACACCTATGGGTAAGTCACCTGAAATCTTACATCCCGTTTCTTTTGACCTTTTTTTTTTTTTTTCAAAGTAGAGAATGATTGTGAAGTGGAAGGAGATGGAACACAGATTTTAAATATGGCACGTCCTGTGTTTTCATCCAATACACTGGAGATGTCGAGAGGAAAATAATTGCTGAAAAATATGTTACTTGAGCTACGATTCAGTCCTGGCAGCGGCAAAGTTCATCTATCAAAACCCAGCTTTTATTTTGGTATTCCACTTTTGATTAAATTGCTACTTCGGTAGCTAAATATTTAGCTTGCCTGCTCACTATTTAACTTGCTTGCTAGATATTTAGTTAGCAAGATAAATATTAAGCTCAGAACTAAATATTTAGTTTGGAAAGTAAATATGTAGTTTTAGCTTGGACTTCAACATTTAGTTGGGAACTTCCTAACTAACTAAATATCTAATATGAAGGCTAAATATTTAGTTTGTAAATGTATTTATTATTCATTTTAGTTAACTGAATATTTAATTTGGAACTCTGACATAAATGTACGCATAACATGGTGAAAATATGAACACCCACATTTTTTTCCTCTATACAGGCCGAATAAGGCAAATTATTGTTCTTATTTCTTTTACTGTGTAACTTTACAAACGACTCCCCATAACAAACTTCCTTCCTGAATTGTGACTGATCCTGAGCTACTTTTATTTTTTTCTTTTTAAATAGCAAAACTCCCAAGCTTTGGATGTGCAAATGTAGTACAAACATACATCTAAGGACTGTAGCAAAAGCTTTGTCATTTCCTTCTACTTCCCAAGGTTGCATTTAAGAAGAAAATTAAAATGAGTATTTCACTTGCTGGTTTGAGCCAGTTTGTGTCCTGGAATAAAATAGGGGAAGTCCATATTTCAAAATATACTTTTTGTTACCAGAGAACTAGAGCACAGTAGCACACACATTAAAGCCGTAACATCCCGAGAATGCTGGCCAGAAGTTGTAAATTCATCCAGGACCAGCATCACAGAGGTTAAAGTGGTCACGACAAGGCCACAGAGAACACTTTTACCAGCTGCAATAGAGGCGCCTATAATCAGCGATACGAAAGCCATCAAACCAGAGAGAATCATTCGTGGCTGGTCACATCTGGGCCTGACTTATGTCTTTGAGCCTAGGCCAGTTATGAATCTGCAGGGATGCAGTGATCGCCGTGGTGATGGGAAAGCTAAAGAGATGCAATGAAATATATCCACATTGTGGCTGTGTAAGAGCAGAAATATTTACAGTGATGCCCTTGAGATAGACATACTGAACCAGAAGATGGATTCACTCGTCTTTTTTTCATGTGGCAATGCATTGTAGGGATACAATCAAATCGTTCTACAATGCATAAAAGTTAATAATCAAAAGGTTCAATCTCAAAGCAATTACTGACCACTAACACATTTCTGCTTCTTACTCTGCTATTCATTGCTCAATAGGCAAATTACAGCCATCAGAATGTTTCCTCAGTGGTTGTGAGATAGTTAATTTCTTTATTTGTTCAACTGAAGTCATTTCCTCCTTTTCTTTTTTTGAACCGTGCCTTTGTCCTTGTTTCTTTCCTCCACAATCTATGAAAACCTCAGCTGTTACATCAACTTAAAAGCTCTTGCAGCTTTAATACAAAAGCAGCGCCCGTATTACATCTTAACCTTTTGCTGCTTCTCAAGTCTTTCAAACCTCTTTTTTTTTTTTTCTCCCCCAAAAAACAGAAATGCGTCATCTTCTGCGCTATCGACTTAAACTGTGATCCTATTAATGCTTGAGGCCAGACAGTGGTAAGAATGATGGATGTCCTCGGGTGTTGAATATCTGTTAGGTAGCTGTGTATGCGCAGAGTGTCGGGAACAACGCTTTTCCATTTGCCCAGATCCCGCTCTTCATATCCCCCTCTCCAAGGACCCATCCTATTAGCATTTATCCAAGGCCTGCTTTGTTAGGCCATCATTAATCATTTGAAATATGAGAGGAGCCAGAACCTGGGGACTCGGAGACTCGATGGATCTCTCATCTTTAAATGAAGTGGAGAAATGCTTCTCACATGCAAGCTCCCATGCATATACACGAATGTGTTTTGAGACCTGTGCTTGCTCCAGAGTGCGGAATGCATACAAGTGAGGCTAAGCATCTGAGGGGAAAAAAAAAAAAAAAAGATCATAAATTTGCTGCAAAAAAAACTTTAGTGGTACAAAGTGTTATATTCAGTTTTGTTCCAACACTTTCTTGTCAGTGTAAACACAGAGACTGAAGATGAAAGGATGATGGATGATGATGGATAAATGATAGATGAGACAGCGGGGGAATTAGTAAAAAGGAGCTGACAGGCTAAACTGTAGCAGGGTGACAAACAAAGTGATGCTACCAGCTACCTGGAGCCATATTTTATTAATTTCCCTTGAGTTTCACACAGAACGTTTTCATGTTTTTAAAAATAATGTATTATTTATTTATTTTAAAAAAAAAGCCACATTTGTTTTTAGTCACGGCTTGTAATCCGCGGAGCCGAGTGTCTAAAATGGAGATGTAAAACCATGCTTCATTATGCATGAGATTGTAATCACAAAAATAGACTAATAAGCTTTGAGAGCTGTAAACGGGAAGCGTGAGAGCTCAGCCTAAGTGTTAATTTTTATTTTTGGTCGGGTTAAGAGAGGGTGTGTGCTCTATAGCTCTGCTGTGGATGGGAGAGGACCGCGACTCAGCTGCTGTGTGACAATTGCTCCAGCTTTGATCATGCTAGCACCCACAGAGCCTCAATGTCACTAAAGTCTGGCTCTCTCCCACTTTCCGTGGATTTGGGCCCCATCTCTTGACAAGCACAAAAAAAAAAAAAAAAAAAACAGCAATGGTGGACCTTTTATCTCCAGTACCCACATATAATCCCAAACACATACGGAACCGTGTGATGTTTGCCCCACAGGGTTCCTCTTTCTCTCTCTTTTTTTTTTAGACGCTATTTCTGTTGCATGAAAGTGTCTGTGAACAGCAGCTAATTTGTCAAAATCGACAGCGGTTCTGCTGCACAAAAAGCCAAATTATTGTTGCCAGCTCCCTGCACGTTATAATCCTCACGCTGCAGAGATGAGTGAGAATTTTGGAATCACTCTGTGAAAATACGGATTAGCGGGATTTGAAGAAGGACTTACAAAAAAAAAAAAAAAAAACTCCCTTTAAGAAGCCAACAATAACATGACAGGTTTTTATGATCACAAGTCTCAATGTGTTTCACACACCCACAAACAAAAGAGGGACTGTACCAGACTCTTAAACATGTTCACCAGGCTCATATTGTGCCGTTTGTATCCACAGGCTCTCCATACAGAGACAAGATCACAATAGCTATTCTTCAGCTCCAAGAGGAAGGGAAGCTGCACATGATGAAGGAGAAGTGGTGGAGGGGCAACGGCTGTCCAGAGGAGGAGAGCAAAGAGGCGAGCGCTCTTGGAGTGCAGAACATCGGGGGGATCTTCATCGTGCTGGCCGCAGGGCTGGTGCTTTCTGTGTTTGTTGCCGTGGGGGAGGTCCTTTACAAGTCCAAGCAGAACGCCCAACTGGAAAAGGTACAGCGGACATTTTTGTCACGATTATAGGAATCGGCCTCAGTGACAGCTAACTGTAAACGATTGAAGGGTCGTTGGTCAAAGATGCGTTTGTGTTTCGCATCGTAATAGACGATCATAACTGACAAAAGTGATCACGATGTGCACTGAGATGAGGGACATGTACACGTTTCCAAAAGAAATAAATAAAACTGGGGCAGGTGCTCAGTTGAAGAATGAGGATTTTGAATGAACAAAAAGGCTCACACACTGCAGGCGCCCATTCTTGCTTCATTTATTGCACCGTTTCATAGCACAGAGTTGACATGTTGAGAGCTTTTTCTCTTCATTATACCAGAGTTCTGCAGCCTAGGAGACTTTTTGTTCATTCATTGTAACCAGCATGCAATCAAAAGCATTTTTGGTGAAAGAATTTTTAAAAATCTATGGTAAAGGTTTAAAACTTATACAATGGGTTGCTTGGGATTAAACCTGCCAGCAGTTATCATTGTGAATAATCGGAAATAAAATCAACTGTCTTACCGGCATTTACCTGACATTTGCTCATTCTCTTTCTGTCAAGTCTGGATTACTACATGTGGTAATATTCAAATGTTTGCTTTATATAGCTATGTATTTTCTGAGTCAGTCTTCAAATTAGAATAAATCACAAATAAAAGACAATCACAGCATAACACGGTAGTGGCTGCATCCTGCTTCCAGACTACTTTTTTTTTTACGTTTTTTTTTTTTTTCAAGGTTTATGAAATAATGAATTATGTAAGTTCTGACCTAGATTAATCATGCAAATACTAAAAATATGAAGATACCGGTTGTCTTCCAGCATACATCCAAATCTGAGAAGTTCTTAGTGAAAGGAAAATTGGTTTTAGAATCACATAGCTGAGTTCAAAACTAAGTGATAGTAAAGGGTTCTGGAAGAGAGCTGCACTCGCAGCCCTCTCTGATTTGTGTGGAGAACTTCTGCAAATTAGAGTGATCAAATATTCATAAGTAAAGCTCTGGGACGCTGATACAATCCTACCAAAGAAGACTGAATGCTGAAATTGAGTCAAAATACGCTTCAACAAAGTCGTAGCTTAAGGCTGTTCACACGTATACAACTGGGCTTTTTCCTATTTCCTTCCAAAACAGATCTGTTTAGTTTACAGTTGAAATGCACCAGGCTTGACGTATAAAGAGCAATGTTTGAAAATTGTTTATTAAGATATAATTTTCTTACGTTAGAAGTGTGCAGAAAATTAATTTTTTTTGTATTGTACTTAAACATTTACTGAAGGTGAATGTTACATTGCAAGTTTCTACACTGGCTTTCTCAAATCTCTTTCTTCAAGAGATTTGGAGGAAATCTGTAGGATTTTGCTTCTCACATCAGAGAAATGTGACCATGGCTACAATTAGTATCCACTCAGTTATGAAGACATTTCAGTGGAAATAAACAAAGGACACTTTACAAAGTTTTTACATATTCTCTCTGACAATATTTGCAAAGCTGCAGATTGCATGACTACCATCAGCCATGTAATCTCATTTAGCCAAATCACACAAAAGATTAGACAAGTTCATGGGCAGTACAGTGAGAGAGCTGGTATTCAAGAAGAGTCAACAACCCTGTTTGTGTTCAGCAGTTTGCTCTGCTCTCAGGGTTTCACAAATTGTTTTAGTTTAAGTTTTAGACAATTTATTTATGAGAACATTGTTTTCCTTTAAGAGGCATTTCCACTTAAGCTGTTCCAGTCCTACACCAGTACCAGTGGGCATTTAGCATCATTTCATTTTCCGTTTCTAAGCCCTGAACCACTCACCTGAGAAGCAGAAACAAGCAGTGCAGTGCCACCAATGCATTACTCGGCCAGAGGACAGAATCACATCAGGGGCGGGTTCCTGTAAAGCAACGTGTATAAATAAGTTAGTTTCACTTTCAGGCTCCATAATTTAGAGAGCAGCAATAAACAGATGAGCTTTAGCGACTCAGAAAGGTATAGCATAAGTTTGTCTCTTTCACAAACTGAAGAGAAGCCTAGACACTGCACAGAGATGCTTATACTTACTCTTTTGAGGTGAATTTATAAACACTGTTTGTGTTACTTTCCCCAGCTGGCACTAGAAATTCTGGCTTGACCTGGTGAATGTAACTCACATTTACGGCACGTTTATGGTTCCAAGTATGTCTTATAGAATGGATATGTCAGTCGGCATCCTAAGTATGAAGGAAACATTCTGTAGCTAAAACCAGTGATTACGAATTAGACTTATAGTATTAGGACGTTGGTTTGCACAGATTCTGAGATAAATATTGTGTTTTCAGAGGATAAACAGTCTCCCCTCCATGCCGATCCTCAACAGCAATTCAGAATACAGCAGATGGAAGCTGTTAAGAACTAACTCTTGCTTCAGCCCTGGTGTCATACTGGAACTGCCGTTCATACGGCACGTCGTTTCATTTTTTTTTTCATCATATAAAACAGACACCTTGTTAATAAATATCCACATAGTAGGAAACATTTAGAGCTCGCAGCTGCCGTCACTGTAAATAAGGCCACCTGAGTTAAATTATTACCATGAAAACGTCTTTTAATCAGCATATATTGCACCATCTTTCTTCCCCCTCAGGTTACGTTTCCAGAGACTATCCACCACCATCCGGGCCCTTAATATACGAGTGCACATTATTCATCAAGCAGAGTGGAGTATGTATTTTAGCGCACCATAATGTGTGCAATTGCATTTCCACATAATTGCCGAAGTCCCTAGATAGCGTTTTTTAATTATTTACATCTCAAGAATTAACATAGTGCAGCAGCTTCTCACTTTATAGCAGTAGTAATTATTTCTATCTTCTTTCTTTCTTTTTTTTTTCTTTTCTTTTTTTGCAGACTGCATATATTTCACAGCACATCTCAGCTATCATTAATCAAGAGCTTCAAGAGACTGGGTCACAATATTCAGTTGATTTGCAAATGCCAGGATTTTCTAGGCTTCCAAGGTGCTCTTAATTTGCATACAGACAACAATCTGCTGAACTCCCTGCCTGCAAACCTCCTTCTACCCACCTCACTTTTCACTACTTATTTCTATTTTCTCTGACACAGTTCTCCACTTTCCTAATCAATCTACTCCTTTAATTATTTATTTCCTAGCATATATATATAAAAGATTGTATTCTTATTCCAGACAAAAATATTGAATACATAGAAAATAAAATACCTGGAGCTTTCTATTGATATCTATCTCAAACACCCACACATATAAACAAACCGAAAAATAAATAAATAACAATGTCATATTTTTATGCTCTCTCTTTTCTTATATATCTTCTCCCCTCCCACAGCCTTTGAATTTGAATTACATCCTGCATAATTGGGTCAGGAATGCATGAGAATTGGATTTGCCAAAGTTGGCGCAAAGGCATATTGACATTTTATAGGATTTTACAGCACATACATAATTTAGGCACAACAGAATCTCGTATCGTAGAAGTTGCATAACACCAAGATATTTTAAACAGTTTACCAATATTTTTGGATTTAATCTTCTTAAGTGGGTTTTATGACCTCGAGGTGGCATTATTCTATTTTTTTTTTCATAATTCCTCTTGGATTTGGTTCTCGTCTGCGGGGCAAAGGCTGTAAGACAATAAGATCTTCAGATGACAATGATACTGACGGGCAAAAATGTTTAACAGAATTGTAAATAGATCTCTTCTTCAAATTCATTCTTAAGGATTTATACATTTGGGTCTGCTTTTCTTGCTATTCAAATCGATCTTAGATTTTCTCCCCCAGACAAAATATGCCAATTTTTATTTTATGCGCTTGCCAGCAAAATCTGCATTTTACTCCATTGTTGTCTTTTCCATCTTTAAATTGTCTCCAGTATTCCCAAATATTGCAGCAGCAATCAATGTCTTAACAAATATTACATCATTATTGTCAGCTCCTTGTCTCAAGCAGCTGCAACTGGAGCTTTAAACTCAGTTGGTTATTATTGCTTTTTAGCACTGAAGAGGCCTTAGAAAGTGTTTTTTTTTTCTTGGCTGTCAAAAAAGAGTAACTCAGTCTCTGTCACTTCAGTTTTATTGTCTATTCATAAGCACATAAATTTTTAGGGCTGCCAACCAAAACTTTATACAAACAGAAGCAGAAAGATTTTTTTTTTCACATAAGCTGAGATCCTGACAAAAAAAAAAAAAGGTAACCTCTAGCACTGGGGAAAGAAACAATGCACCTGAAACCAAATCCACCTCTGCTGCTTCTGTTTTTGCTAAAACCAGCATAAGAATGCAACATAGGAAAGAGCAATGCTCATGAGCCCTCAGTTTAAATGTTCTGGGTTATTTATTTATTTTTTGTATTGACCATTAACACATCAACCCTTTTCCAGAATGCTCGTCTCTGTCACTTCAGAAAACACACTTATTTTTGTGTATTTTGGGCTGTAATATTTGAGTATGTCTGGAAGATCTTTAATTGGTTGCTATGGAGAGAAAAAAAAAAGCTACATGATGAAACTCTGAACAGGCAACCAGCTGACTGAGTGAGGATGCATAGAACAGAATGTGCTGGAAGATGGAGAATGGGCAGTAATCTGAATGAAGCAACTATACCACAGCATAACACTGCAGCATTTACACCTGCAAGCAAGACACTGCTGTCTGTCTGACATCTCCATTGCAAGCTGTATGATTACAGCTGGATTGACACCAAGATTATTTTTATAGAATCAATAAAGTGACAGTTTTGCATAAACCTCCTGTTCGGAATTGTTTGCAAAGTTCTGAGTCAAGAACCAAAGCCAGATTTGAAGATATTTGTCAAATTTGTATTTGACGGGAAACAAATATAAACTTTGTGATTTTCTTTTCACTTCACAACTCTGTGGTATTTGGTGTTGGCCTCTGTCATGAAAACCATTGAAAGGCATTCAAATTTGTAATATGGAAAAGCATAAAATCCTACATTAATCCCACCTCACATCAATATTGATCTTGCTCAGTTTACATTGGTCAGATGAGTGTAACATAAAGAATAACTGCTCTACTTCTTGTCCTCCTTCTGTTTTCTTCTGCAGCGATCATTCTGCAGTGCTATGATGGATGAGCTGCGTGTTTCTCTGAAGTGCCAACGTCGTCTCAAACAAAAGCCTCAGCCGCCCGCCATCGTCAAGACAGAGGAGGTCATTAACATGCACACGTTCAACGACAGGAGACTCCCAGGAAAGGAAACCATGGCATGAAAACTGACAACGCCCTGAAACATTCCCCTCAATTAAAATCACCGAGGGGAGACAGGGGTCAAATTAACGCAGACTAGACCAGGGGCTGAGGTTAGCAGTAACAACAGGATTTCTTTTTGAACCAACATGCTTATGTAGACCGATGTTTCCTGTGGAAATACAGATACTTGAGAAGTGTCACCTCACTGTGACCATTACTTTTTGAAGGGAACTGGAAACGGCGGACTCTCTCCCAGGCTGGGCGGGTGACACGCGTAAACCTCAAAACGGATTCAAGCAGGTTTGGGACAAAAGCGTTTGCTGGTTCACACCGGAAGTGGATTTAAACACAAACACACATGTATACACAGACACGCATACTGTCGTTTCACACTCTTTACTGCTGTGCATAAGGGAGGACTCAGTTCGAACGATGAATTTGGTTGTAGTTTTTCTGTTGTTGTCAATGCCCTTTGTCTTACTTCCATGTCTGTGGCCCCTTCCTTCAGTGGCTTGAGTTTCTCTTCAATCATTTAAAGCAAACACTAATTTCATACCAAAAAATTAAAAAGTAGTCAACACCATCTGGGTTATTATGAACTGATGTATAAAAGTGATAATTAGTTTGGAATCATCTATGCTGATCTTGTCAAATACTGTCATTTTCTTCGATATGTGCCAAAGTTCTGCCATTGTGAAGAACTTCCTACCACGCCTGTTTCTGTTTTGACGCCTCTAGAAGCAATGTAATCTGTCAAGCTCCTGACTCATGTCGCCCTTAAACACTGTCAACGGTTTTCACTCTGTATCGGTTGTTGTTTAAAAGGTGGAATTTCTACAAAAGTGTTCGTTTTTGTACAAGAACAACGAAGTTTTGTAGTACTTTGTATCATATAGTAGCCCCTCCCGTGGACAAAATATGTAGCAGATATCAACTCAGCCCTCGGACTCTTGACAACAAAGCTTCAGGCTCTGCTGTGTGGAGTACATTGCTTTCATCAATCTGCGATTCAGTCTTTTGTCTGCCACTCTCACGGGGGCCAGCGGTACATACTGTTTGGGGACAATGTAGTGGATTTTGGTTGGGGAGAGCAATAGAATTGTAAATGAAGAGTTCACAAAGTAGGCAAAGGCGGTGATTCATGCTGAAAAATTCAGCTCTTGTCCTATCAGCAGAGAGAGTGGGTAAATAACAGTAGCTATGATGAATCACCATGAAAGACATGGTAAAACATGCAAATGTTGCTTTTGTGGAATATAAATACAGCCGTAGTTTTGTAGATCTGTTGTACTACAATGACATTCTTTTTTTTTTAATGGTATGTCCTAAAAGTTTTATTTTTTAAACTAGTGGTACTAATAGGTTTGACATATGCGTATCAGAGACTTGAACATAAAAAGTACTTTGCTTAAATAACAAATTATATGGACAGACACAATTAAAATACTTATTTTAAAAGCTTTTCATCAATGAAAATCTGTTTTTAGTTATTATATAGTGTATATACTGCAAATATTTCTGACTTAGTTTGAAAATTATCACTTTTAGGACTCATATTTAGTGGCATCTCAATAAATTATAATATCATTGAAAAGTTAATGAATGTGGCTTACAGCTAAACCAAAGATCAGCTTCTCGTGAAATTTGAATACTACATAAAACACACTTAGCTGTCCATTGATACACCTGCATGCAGCACTCTCTGAATATCCAGTTTGTTTAGCAAGTACCTTTGGTAGCTTCGTGTGCAGGATGTCACTGAGTGTTTGTTTGACGACTGTCAAGTCCTTAATCTATCCCATGATTTCACAACATTTCTGTATTTCAAAAGGCTTTTTTCATACTCTGATGAGATCCCCAAGGTTTTTCTGAGAAACACAATTTTGGATGTCATTAGCTGTAAGCCATAATCACAAAATTACCAGAAATAAACACTTGAAACATATTAGTCTCTGTGTAATGAATGTGTAAGATGTGTCTCTCGCTTTTTTTAAAATGTAGAATTGCAAATGAATTCACTTTTCAGCGATAATCTAACTTACTGAGATGCACCTGTAAGTGACCTCAAAAGTGGGCCGTAATGATAGGGGTGTGAGTTGTATGAATGTTGAAAACAGTGCAGCTGCAGTCAATCGGATGGCGGGTATAATCAGGAGCTGCGAGGCGCTTGTATGTTGGATAGTAAATGTCCCACCTTAGCTCAAAAACCGGGCTGTGCTTCACTCATCTTTCCTCGAGTGGGCTTCATCATCTTGAGAGCTTGATGTTGATGATAGCTTGTGGGCTGAGCAAAATCATTTATCCGCTAATTGTCTCCAGATGTGTGTTATCTTCATGACCTAACACAAGCGCATTTGGTGCAACAACTCTTCCTGTCTGGTAACTCTGTTCCCTGTTGTGAAATGACAAGCACACTCGGTAGGTTACTGCTCCCGCTGCCCCCGTCTTGACCCGTTTGTTCAATTCATCTGGCATTACAGGTGTTAGAAGACACTAACGCCCACGCGCGACCCTCTAATCATCATACATTCATGGGTTAATTTAATTATATAAAAATTGACACGAGGGTTTATGTATGTAAGCTTTTGGTGATCTACTAGTGTTGCTTGTCATTTTCCATATAGCTATATCTAGTGGTGCAAACTAATTGAATTTCTGAAAACAATCTTCAATTGATTCCAAAGGCTTAGCGGTGAAATAAAGATAATAAAAAAAATTTAAAAAAAGCAATGTGAGCTCATGGAGTTTAACATTGATGCAAGGTTTTACAAAAACTGTCATTAAAAATGTCATAACTGTAGCTCTGCCTCATATTTTTCTGCACAACTCAAGGTAGTCTTTGGAAACAGATGTACTTTGCAAAAGTTTTTTTTATAATTGCTGTGACTTTCTGGTGTGTTTCCACATCGTTACGAAGTAGCCTGTCGTTAATTTGTTTTTGATAATTAAGGTAGAATCAACCAAATAGTCACTCTTTTGAACTGTGGGAGGAAGCTGAAGCCCCAGGAGAGAATCCACACATTCACGGGTAGAACGTGCAAACTCCATGCAGAAGAACCACAACCTGGAATCTGAACCCAGAACTTTCTTGTTGTGAGGTAAAAATGCGTTTGTGCCTCCATGTAACTGTGTATATACTAAGTTATCTTAATTCAGTAATCCTACTTGTTTATGTCAAAAAAAAAAAATGAAGTCTTGTTTTAAGCATATACTGCACAATGTGTGTGGGACAAAGAAAGAGCAACACATGAGAAATGAAGCAGGTAAAATCTAAAAAATAATTCTAAAAAACTGTTAGTTCATTTGACTATCAAGTCTTAAAAGATTGCAAAAAATTGTCTTTTTGTCTCTTAAGTCTTCAGACAATTTGTAACTAGCAACTTGAGGCAAAGACAACTGAATCATATTTTCTTTGTTGAATCCATAAAAAACTAGATTTTAACACCAACAAACTGCTTATCAAGAGCTATAAATTGAAAATCTGACTTCTTCTGGCTAACCTGAAGAAAGAAATGTTTTTCATAATTATATTTGTTTTTTTTTTATTATTTTCTGAAATATACACAGCATTTCAACATAGGATACAATGCCTTTCCACAAACCCTTCATCAGGATTATTTTGGTGATGGATCCAACAGAGTAGTGCGATTGCTGTAAATCAGAAGAAAAGTACAGGAACATTTTGACATCTAACAACATTAAAACCATTGCATGTTTTTGTTTTGAGACATCAATATGATGTAGAATCTCCCGCTGAACTTAAAAGTCCTTTAGCTAGGCCACTACTGACTTTACCCGTGTAAAACTGGCATTCTGCCTACCCCTTTATTGTAAAATAATTCAAGATCAATGAGGAGCAGAGCAGTATGTCAACATCAATGCTCAAGTCTTTTCACAGATCCTCAAGTGGCCATTGCTCTGGACGTTGAGTGGGCAATTCTAATAGTGGGCGATTAATAAGTTTAATTCAAGCCACTCCACCCTTTTTGCTGGCTGAATGTTTAGTAACTGCTCATTTGGAAGGGGAAGTTCTCCCTCTCCACCCTCGTCCAAGTCTCAAGTGTTTTCCATCTTCTGACAGGTTTTCTTTCAGAAAGGCCAAGTATTTATCTTCAGCATCTTCCCACTAACTCTCACCAGTTGGTGGGAAGATGTTGAATAAAAACATCCGCACAGGATGATGCAGCCAACATCATATTTCACAATGGGAAAGGTATTTACAGGGTTTTAATTTTTCATCAGACAAAACACTTTGCTTAAAGAAAAAGCTCAAAAAATCTTAGAAAAGTCTTAACTGTACAGGAAAAATTCTTCCTTGTTCTTGTTTTACGCCCTACATGTAAAATATGAAAAATTGCACAGAGAAATATTTAAGGCTTTCTTTTGATCACAGATTTCTTCAAATTTGTGGAGCACATGACAAGTACATTTGGCGGATGATCCCACCAGAGCTGTTGCTCCTCCAGAGTTACCATGCCTGCTTCTCTTATTGAATGATTCAGACTGAGTTAACTGACATGTCAAAACATGAAGTGCTTTTTTTATGATAAAAATGCTTTAAACCTGCAATTTGATTCCTGATCTGCCTGGTTTGTTATTTTGGTTTTTAAGATGCTGTTTTACAAGGTTCTGAATATAAATGGAAGCTATGCTTTTATGGTTTATCATTTCAAAAATATCTAAAGTATAATTTTACTTCTGCAGCACAACCAAGGGCATAAAACCCTGATTGAATTGCATTTAATTTCACAGTTTTAAAGTGATAACAGGTGTGTTTCTTTTAGCCTGGCATGTTAATCTGTCATTAAATTATGTTGTTTATTTCTAAGCACACGACTCAATATTTTGTGAGAGTTGGGAAAAAAAGGGAAAGTGATCAAGACCACTTAAAGTGTTTCAAGAAACTTTTGCTCCTTAAGATGTAAAGAAACAAAATAAAGAAAAGAGAAAAAAATCTGGAGTTCTGTGGAGTGAAGCCTCCTCATCTATTATCATGAATATACTCCTCAAAATATAATCAAATATCAGATTAATTGACTAATTCCCCAAAATAGTTGATTTAATGACTGAATGAATGGGTTATAGTTGAACTGTAAGTGAAGACAAACTGAAAGCATGTATGACAGACATACATGCTTTCAGTTCTTTTTTTTTTTTAACTTGCTCCCTGGCTGCCTGTGTAATCTTTCCCTTGGTGGTGCAACTTACACAGGATTTTCTAGAAGTTGCCATGAAAAACCGTCTCTGCATCTGCAGCTCTGCTGCCACCACACAAACGGCCACCCCTGTTCGCCCTCCAAAGTGACAGGGAAGGTCAGAGCACGCTTCAGTGCGTTCAGCAGGGACCGTTTAGTCTGTCACACTTATTTCCATCATATTAAATCTTCTTCCTCCTTTTCCTAAGTGGTCATTGGGAAGGTATCCTTGGATAACATCTTGTTCATCAGACAATTAATGGCTGGGATTGCATTGTAGACAGAATATTGCTTTCTGAATGTGACTTTGGTTTGTCACACAGATATCATAAGTAAATTGAGTCCGTCAAGAAAGATCTTCAAGGAGGACATTGGCTCCGCTGCTCATTCCCTGTGGTTCAATAATTTATGATGACAGGTCGCAGATTAATAGCATGTAAGTCTGCTTGATTATTATTATTTAACTTTTTTGCCAAGAGTACATCCATGTACAGACTCTTGGTGTAATGCAAAGTCTTCAAAAGATCGAATGTGATAAAGTTTAGTGAAGATGAGAAATTTTGGGTTGAAAATGTCTATGTAACATCTGTAAACTTTTAACCAGTCTCTGATACTCAGGTACGTTCCAGTGGCTTCAGCTACTTCCATGTGTTCAGGGTTAAATATCCTTCCTTCATATCACTACTATGTTTTTATGATGTCTCAGGTTTGGCTGGGCATTTTTAGAAACCTTGACAGGAAATTGTATTTAGTTTTTTGATAAGCTGCTCTTAATTTATTTATCTAGCATGGAGCTGAGAAGATCTGCGCTTGGAAGGACTCTGTCAAGACAAGAAATAATATTTTTATCCCAGAGTTGCAGTGGTAAGTCTACAACTATGGTTCTGTTTTTAACACTTATTAGGTGGGCGACTATTAAATTTTGTGGCAGGATTTAGAATTTTAAACTGATTAATTTGGTCGTAGACATAGCAAAGCCATTTTCATGAGTGCCCTCCCTAACCCCTGAAATTTCATATCCAAGTCTTATTAGTGTGAGGGTTGACAAAAAAAGGAAGATTTTTCTTTTTTTATTATTATTATTAAAGCTAATAAAGTGCCATATTAAAGTGTGTGAGTGGGCTTAGCGTGGTCTGATTCTGCAGGCACTTGTGTAATGTGCTCAGCACTGATACATAATAGTGGTGTGAATACAGCAGTCTACTGTATTTGCATACCTTTCTTTGTGCAAAAAACAAGCAGTAAAAAAAAAAATAAAAAAGAGCGGACGGGGTGTATGCAGCACACGACACATCAGGATAGAAATGGCTTAAATGCGGTTTGTGTTAGAGCAGCTTTGATTGTGCCATAATAAGAAGAGAAGATGACAGAGGAAATTAAGAAAAAAAGCTGCAAGCTAATCTGCATGATGATGATGATGAATATGTTGTCTCCAGCATTTCTCTGCATTGCCTTTCTGTCTGCTGGCAGGATTCCAACATAAGCTAGTGGAGTCCCTCGTTTTCCTTCAAAAATGTGACTTGTATTCAGAGATTCTTTTTTTCACCTTTTAATGGAGATTGTGTCTCAGGGGGAAGTTTAGTTGTCGAACAATTGAAATTGTCTTTGTTCAATTTCAGGTTTGATGTCACCTTTGGCAAGGCACTTAGCCCTGATCTGCGTCATAGTATTTGATCAAATGATGTATGTGTGGCTCTGGTTTAAAAATATTTTAGGAGTTATAACTAGAACAACATAGATGGAATTCCTTGACCGTTGATTCAGAAAATTGACTATAAAATGCAAAAGGGGAAGTGACTTCACAGCTTTTTGAACAATGAACAAAAGCTGCAGATGGGAATAAAGTGAGGGTAGACTATACTGCCAGGGAGATTAAGGACACAGAATTAGTGTTCAATAAGATATAACAATACTGCATTCTTTTCTCTTTTCTGTGAAAAGAAAAATTCTGCAAACTTTTGAATTTAAGGCAGCTTCAAAATACCTAAATACCTGAGAAACTCTTGAACCAAGAGTCAATTTGTTATCAATTGGCAGTACAAGATCTAAGGGTCTCGGATGTTCACTGCACAGGTTTCTAGTCAATTGTTGGGCAACACTGGGCAACCATTGCATACACTCAGACCTGAGGGCAATTTATAGAGGGCATGAGGCATTTACCTAAAAATAACCTATGTATTCATAGGGAGATCATACAAACGCTATAGAAGGTCCTTGCTAGTATTCAAACCTAAGTCGTTTTGGCTGCATTGATTGCCTCAGCATGCAGTCCTTCAAGTAAAAATGAAATGCATAATGAAACGACATCCTTCAATCAATCAAGTGGTGCCAGTGGGAAAGATAGAAGACATAGCGCTAAAAAAAGCTTTGTTCTGATGAAGTGCTGTTTTTAATTTGGCCATGATTCCAGCACTTGGTATTTTATCACATTTGAAAGCTGCTGCAGTGGGTAGTTCTTCATCTGTGGACATTTTGGTGCTTTGGAAATTAGCTTTAGTTTCTTCTTGTGAGCTCAGCCTGTATAAAGGGAATTACAATAAAAGGGGAACCGACTATAAACCACACTTGGGAGCGTCCCCCATTTTTCCCTCCTGCACCTACAACAAGAGGGGAGTTCAGTGCAATAAATGTTGGCCAAAAACAAAATTTAAATGATCTGCTTCAAACTACAGTGGTTTCTTTTGTGTGTGACCTGAATGTGAGTTTTCCCGCTATTCAGGATGTGCAGGATATAAACTCAATTTTAGCTGCAAATGAGTTTAAATTTAAAAGAATGATCCTCTGTGTCTTGAAGCAGTTCTTTTGGTTGTGGTTGCATATCCAAATGTCTTTTCTCCCAGTGGCAGATGTGTTGTGGTGGGTGGCAGCTGCAGAATGGAGGAGCACAGATTGCTAAGTGATTCACCCTGCTCCTGGCATCTCCGTTACCCCATGAGTCTTTTCACTGACAGTGTTTTCATTTCTATTGGCTTCATGTGTAACTAGCATGGTTTGGTGCTTTGACAGCTCTGTCGGGGAAATGACAATTCAGGTCTCCTTGCTTAGAGGTTATTTCCTCTGCTGTGACCCGCTCTGCGGGAAAAAACGGAGGGACCCCGGCTGAACATGACACAGGATCACATTTTTTGAAATGCACATGTTGCTGGTGCTCAGTCTGATAAAAATTTCTGGCCCGATGTTACAAATTAGCTCCGCATCTGATGGCATCTGCTGCCCCTTTATGCACACACCAGAAATAACAGTGTTGAGTGTTGAATTGGTCACATTTTCTGAAGTGTGAATTGTATTTTGTTCACTGCTGTCAAATAGAATCCTCATCCCTTCTAAATATAAAAAATAAAAAATAAATAAATAATCCCCCTTTTGGTTCTCTCGAACAAATGTTCTGCCTCCTTCCCACTTCCTTCTGCCTTTGAGTCATTCATAGTGTTGATTCCACCTCTGGAGGAATACATCAGGCATAACGCCTTTTTCTTTCATCAGGGCATCAGCTTTAAAGTAATTTTCCTCCTCTCGCAGGGAGCCAAATGGAGACGAGAAGATGTCGATTCTCTCATCTCTTTGTCTGTCCCCTTTGATCTCTTCCAACATGAATTCCCAATGCACAAAAAGTAAATGCCCCCCCTTCCCACACTCCTCCTCTGCCCACACTTTCTCTGGAGCATGGTTGATCATACAAAATTGACCAGAAATGACTTCTAATGACCCTTGTGTTTTACTTGGAAAACAGAATACCCCCACAACACACTCCTTGCTATCATTATGCCTAGTGCATTTTAATGATGGATGAATTATTCAGGGTGTGCTTGTAGACATAATAGTCCAAACCGCTGATTCTGAGAACATCTTTATGAGCCCTTGTGAGAGATGAGAAGGATTTTGTGACAAAAGGACCAGGGCATAAGCAAAGGCGCACATGCTGGCGCGTATCATTGACTGTTGCATTTACAGTCAGCAGCTGTGATTTATGTTGTATTCCCTGTGCAGGAGCCCCCTCTATCTCAAAGAAAAGGTTAAAGCATACAGCCTGGAGGCAGTGCTACAAAGGTTAACATGCAGTTTAGGCACGCGGAATAGAGAAAAAGCATTGGGAAGATATGCAGTACCCTCTTCTCTTTGGCCTGAATGCTGCCTCTGATACCCCTAAACACCACAGAAGACCCTCTCTATGATGTTTAGTGGTATTTATCCTTCAGTTCTCTCTATCCTTGCCTTTTTAAACATCCAGCACCTAACACCATAAACACACCTGACCTTGACAAAGCCATCTCAAGAGATTGTATCTCAGAGAAAGAAAGAAATATGATGATGGGTAACCGAAGCAAACCGTAAACAGTGTTCATACCATCCAACGCCTAAAGCGGTGTGCTTAAAGATGTGCTCAGGAGAAAGTCAGTGAGACAGAGTGATGATTATAAAACACACACACGGTGCTAGACCATTAAAGAGGAGAGGGATAAAAGAGAGAGGGCTGTGAAGACACACCAGTGTCTTGGTGAGTCAGATGTGTTGAGGTGATTAATCTGTTTTGGCTGTCCTTCATAGGCCTGAGGGTGGGTAAATATTTAGCAGTGCTGGGCTGCCCCCTTTTGGAGAAAAGAGGATAATATATTTACAAAATGCATCATCCATC